TAACTAAACATTTTGGTCAGAGAGTCCATGGAAGAAACCTGATCAAAGGAGGGGAGAGGTGCAGAACAGAATTTCAAATTTTCATGGACTCCAGACTTTCTGGAGCTAGTTAGGCCAAGTGAACCCCTGAAATCACTGCTCTGAAATAATCATTAAACCTGAAACTTAAAAAAAAATCACCCTAAAGTCTTCTTAAAACCAAATAATAGCTTAGCTTAACTAGTACAGAACACCTGCCTTCTGTTCTTTTAAAGAACTAGCTGTACGGGATCCAAGTGGCAAAAGCAACTCAAAAGATTATTAGACAGGACTCTCAGGGGGCAGCAAGTTTATGTTAATGGGGAGGAAGGATTCAGAAAAGGACGAGGAACATGACTGCAATACCTGAAGAGAGGAATCAAAGTCAGTCAACTGTACCCTGGAGACCACGAAACAGGAGCCTGCTCTGCTGGGCACATTTTCATCAAAAAAATAAAATAATTTATGTTAAAAAACTAAGCAGCTTCTAAGGGCTCTGGTGGTATAGTGGTTAAAAGCATTTGGCTGCTAACCAAAAGCTCAGTGGTTCAAACCTACCAGCCACTCCATGGAAGAAAGATGAGGCAGTCTGCTTCTATAAAGATTTGCAGCACTGATGAACTATCAGGTATGTCTATCCAGGGGAGAGTGTGCCCATGACCATGTATAGGGTTGGCAGACAATGCTTCTACAAGTTTCTTTGTATGTTCTGTAAGAATTCCCACGTATAGAGTAGAGCTGACAAGGGACAAGGTTGTAGTCACTTCCTGGCCACAGCCAGCTACCCAGAGGGTGTGAGTAGTTTGACCTGTGGGCTCGGGACCATGGTCGCAGGGGCATCAAGCTCAACTGGCATAACATACTACACAAAAACATTGTTCCACATCCTACTTTGGCGAGTAGCGAATGGGATCTTAAAAGCTTGCAAGAGGCCATCTAGATGCAATAGGGGTCTCTCCTTGTCCAGAGTAAAGAAGAGTGAAGAAAACCAAAGACACATGGAAACAATTAGTCCAAAGGGACAGGTACACCATGCGATCCTCAGCCTGTATGACTATGAGACCAGAAGAACTAGATGGCGCCCGGCTGCCACTGTCACTCGGAGGGGGATCTATGTAGGAGATCCTGGACAGAGTAGGAGAACAATGTGGAAGAAAACTCAAAATCATAAGAAAAAAAGAAAAAAGGGGGGGCCAGGTTTGCTGGTCTGATGGAGGCTGGTGGAACCTCTCAGACTATGGCCCCTAGCTGCCCTTCAGGTCTGGAATTGAACCCACTCCTGTGGCTTCCAGCCAAACAAAAGACAAGCATAGGACTTGAACATTTACCTCAGGTAGATACAGTCCTTGGAGAGAACAATCATGGGAGAAAGAAGGGCTGTGTCTGCACAGGGAGACAGCTCAGGGGGTAGGAGTGCGTGGAGGGATGGACACAGGGAAGAGGTAACTATGGGGAGGAAGTAAGAGGGGAGCTGTTGCATTGTGGGAAATTATAGTCAATGCCATGAGACAAAGTGTATGTGAGCTGCTGTATGGAAAGTGAATTTACTCTGTAAACTTTCACCCAAATCACACACACACACACACACACACACACACACACAAAAAAGATTTGCAGCCTTGAAAACTCAATGAGGGTTGCTATGAGTCAGAATCGACTTGACGGCAGTGAGTTTGATTCAGTTTAAGCAATTTCTAAAGATAATTACTTTTGTTGTTGTTGTTATGTGCCGTTGAGTCGGCCCCGACTCATAGCGACCCCTCCTTGGGTTTCCGAGGCAGTATCACTACAGAAGTAGGATTGCCCAACCTTCCTTCCAAGGAGTGGCTGGTGGGTTTGAACCGCCAGCCTTCTGGTTAGCAGTCAAGTGCCTTAGGCACTACTAGCTCTAAATAAATAAAATGTACCAAAAAAGAAAAAAAAAAAGCAAGCAGAAATACATCTTCTACAGAGTTCATGGTGGTAGAAACCGTCAGTGTGCAACCTTGGGCTGCCAGGAGAGTCCTTTTTGTGCAAACTTTATTCTCACGTCTTGCTGCCATCTGTCTCACGAGACAGCATCTGGAAACCTCCAGAAAAACCTGTCATAACAAAAGTTACAATTTGCCATTACTTGTCTCCGGCGACTGAAGCTTTGCTCCACCCTGGTCAGTTACAGAAGGCAGCAGTTGGCCTCAGTCTCTTTCAGAGACACACTGTCATCAAACATTTTCACTGTTGTACATGACTGACCATAAAGCAACCTGCAGATTCTCATGTAGAAAGTGCTTTCACCGAGCAGTTTGTAAACCAAGGCTTCATCAGGAAAAAGGAAATTACAGGGACTGAAAGTCTCGTGAGCATGGCTAGGATTCCATACCTCTGTTTTCTACACAAAGCTTAGTCGGAGGGAGAACATCCAGTCAGTCCGTTAGAGACGCCTGTAGGCAGACTGGAACCTCCAACCTTCTGGTCATCAGCCGAGCGCGCAACCATCCCTGCCGCCCAGGGACTCCCGGGGCTGGAAGACAGGTCTCCCAACAGCCTGGCCTATGGGAACTCCACTCTATTTGGCAATCCAAGAACCAATTATTGCATCTATGAAAAAGTGAACAAACTCCTGAAATGCATACCTTTCTCCAGTCCAGGCAGATGAGTAATGCTAACCTTGCGTTCCCCATCAGACACAGGCCAAATCCCAGAGCTGGTAAAATTAAATAAATAAATAGATCACTGGCGCTGAGGCAACTCCAGCTCAGGGCAGCCCCGGGTGTCAGAGTGGAACTGTTCCAAGAGGTACATTGTATCATTACAAAAAAGGCACCAGTCCTTTCTTCCGCAGCAGTGCTGGGTGGGTTTGAACCAGCAATCTTTAGGTTACGAACTGTTTGTGCCACCCACAGGCCCCATGGTGTACGGGGGCCTCGCTCAGTGGCCAGCCTGCAGTCCTGGCAGCTAATAACTTCTAGCAATGTCCAGGCTCATCACTCAGCAACGTCTACATTCCCAGCCACAGCCCCCATAAGGGTCAGTGCTCCCCAGCACGCAGCGGGGTAGGACTCATCACTTCCACCGCACGGATGGGCAGACCGAGGCGAGCAGCACCATGGCTCCCACCAGCAGCATAGCTCAAGGGGGTTCAGCTAAGGAGAGGAACCAGGGCCGACTGGCTCCACGACCCGCGTCCCCATGTTCTCCCCACCCCATCAAGCTCTCTATCACAGCCTCCTCTGTAGTGTGCAAAGCCCTTTGCAACAGGCCCAGCACCAGCTCTCACCCGCTGCTGTAACCTGTGGCCAGGCACCGTGCTCAGTGCCTCGCCGGATGAACCTCACTTTGGATCACCGTCAAAACAGGGTGCTACCTGGGGCCAGTCAAAGACTGAGGGGTACGAAGGAAAAAGTCACTTTCTTTCCTCCCCAGCTTACACCACCACCCTGCCCGCGCAGTGCACGGGCACACACAACACCAGCGTTAAATGCAGGGGGTTATTCTTCATAACAACATATGCACCCACATGCAGAAGTACAGTCCTACTCTGTTTTCACAATGATCAGGCCCAACTCCTGACTCTGCCACTTACTTCGCTACAAAATCCCGTGACCACCCCCCCACAGATCAACAGAAAGAGCTGCTGGTTCTTCATCAGCTACGTGACGCTGAGGGGCCTGAACGGGCCATATTCACCCAGCTAGGACTCAACGGCACATAACAACGAAAACAACAGGCCTCCACCCCAGGGCTCCAGCCGGCGTAAGTAATGCCACATGGTAATGGGGTCTTAGGTCGCAGTGCTTCTATTTCTGTGAAACAGAGCCCCAAAAGTGCTACTTCCAGGTCAAAGTGTTTGTACATCTTAATGGAATTTTAAAACAGCATATTATCTTAATCAGAAATTATGGTATCATTAAAAAAAAAGTAAATAAAAGTATAGAAAGAAGAAAAAAAAACAAACCTCACTGCCATTGAGTCATTTTCCACTCATAGTGACCCCCACTGGGTTTCCAAGGCTGCAAATCTTTACAGAAGTAGGTCACCCAGTCTTTCTTCCATGGAGCACGGATGGTGAGTTTGAACTGCTGACCTTCCGCTTAGAAGTCAAGTGCCTTAACGTGTCAGTGTAAATGTCAACACTGCGTTCGTTCCAACTCACAGTGCCTCTGCAGGACACAGCAGAAAGACCCCAGAGGGTTTCCACGGCTGTAACCTTTACAGGAACAGGTCCCCAGGTCTTTTCTCCCGTGAAGCCACTGGTGGGTCTGAACCGCTAACCTTTCAGCTGGCAGCCCAGTGCTTAATGCCAGCACAGCTCCTCACGCAGACAGCAGCTGTTAAAGACTTTGCTCTATATCCTTCCAGACTGAGACAGTAAGTTAAACCCAGTTGACTTTGTATCTCACCATGGTTGCTGGCCGTCCTGAGTGTGCCCAGCCTTACGGCAACCTCACACATAACAGGACAAAATGCTGACCAGCCCTGCCCCAGCCCCACGACCATGTGTGGTTCACAGCACTGGGTCACAGGGCTTTCCCTGCTCGTTCTCAGAAGATCTCCAGGCCTTTCTTCCTCACCTTAATCTGGAAGCTCCCCTGGCGCCTGTTCAGCCTCACCACCACACACAAGCCTCCACCAACAGTCAAGGAGAGGCTACGCACGACACACACGTCAGGGACTTGAACCCGGGTCTCTCTCATGGAAGGTGAGAATCCTAGCACTGAACCATCAAGGCCTCACTTCTGTTTTCTCCTGATTAAATCTCAAACAAACTTTAAGGCCACTGACATCCCCATCAGAGAGGTAGGCAAGCGCCATTGCCCCCAATGCCCTGTCACATATTTAAAACTTAGTTCAACGTCTTTGCCAATCAAATAGGTCACGGTCATCTCTATGTCCCATCTCCTTGACTGGAAGGAGACAGACCACATCTCACGGCTTTCTTAGTAAGGTGCCAGACTCTGTAACAGGGGAGACATCATCAGGTCATTTGCTGCAAATCGTCTTACCGATTTTTGCTGTTCAAACATAAGTTTTTTATAGAAGAGATGGAACTGTTCAAAGCTGAGTTCATCTCTGTGCGCGCCTATTTCCTGTAAAAATAAAAAAAAAAAAGTGACCACATGGTTTCTGATGTCCACCCACAAGAATGTCTCCTCCCTGTCTGCAGAAGGAGAAGGTCTTTTCTAGAGCACTGGTGGAAATCAAACACATGCTCCCTGGAACAAACTCTCCACAGGTTTCCTACTTTGCCTTCCAGGAAGAGGGTCCTCACCAGGGACCCCACCCAGCAAGACCCTTCCCCTTGAGCCCCAAAAGGGAAGAGTCCTACCCACACTTCCAAGAGCCACAAGGCATAGCCCCTCCTTTTTCAGGCAAAAGACATTTCCTTTAGAACATTCCAATCCAGATACGGGTCATTTTTAAAACCATAAATAAAATAAATCCACCAAGACTTTGGAGACAGATGGGTTCATCTCTGTGCACAGCTGCTCCTATAAATGTCAACTCAATTGCTGCATGACCTTGGGCAATTTACTTGACGTTTTCAGACCCTCAGTGTCCTCATTTGTAAAATGGGAGACCCATCACTAACTTCCAGGGGCTCCTCTGAAGCCACATGAGATAATGTCTACAAAAGCCTCAGTAAGTGTCTGATGAAGAACAAGGTTCTGGTGACGCTTGGGTCAAGGGTCAAACGCTTCTCCATCTCTTTTCTACTTACACCCTTGTCCTCCCCTTGTGCTTTTCCATTCTTGGGTTGAGAATGGAACAGTGGAGGGGCAGGCCAAAGGATGGCTTGAAACAAGCAATGAAATGGGTGAACTCTTCCAGAACTCATTAGGACAAATTCTGCTCCTGCAGCTCAGGAATCCCATGAATGCGGCTGCCGTTGGCACAGCCAAATGTGCATCCTCCAACCAGGGATCTGGGGAAGGCGTGCTGTTCATTTTCTCAACGAGAGCGGGTGTCTCTGTGAGATGAAAGGAGGTGGCTTCCATCCACGTACAATCTGGAGAAGCCCCACCAGATCTGCACCCTGTCCCACAGAGAGACCACCTGCCACAGCTCCTCTAGCTGGTTACACAGAACAAACTGAAGGATGGCTGGGTGGGGAGATGGACGAGGGAACAGAGAGGCAGGGAGGGGAGAGGCCGCCTCAGAAACTGCACCACTGGTGCTTTCCAGTGAAATGCCGTAAACCTGGCAATCAACACAAGGACTCTTCCATAGTATTTTCCAAAAGAAACACATTTGCTCATGTTACTAGGAAAAAAGGCTGGAGATGGTGAAGGAAACAGGAGGCGGCCTTGTGCAAACAGATCTGAGTTTGTTCCAAGGGCAACACTCAGCATACACGGTCTTCCATGAGGACACCCTCTGCTACCACTGAGCATGGTCCTGAGATGTTTACAAGACCTTCAGGAAACTAGGACAGATGTCCCCTGGAGGTGAAGGGCTTCTCTGGACACCACTCGACTGATCAAGGGGACTCCACAGCTTCACATGAGAGGCGCTCGGCAGCCCCAACTTCCAAGAGCCCAGAGTTGAACCACAAAACTTACCAGAAACTTATCTTTGAGGAACTTGGCACTGTTCACTTTGAAGTTGACCAGAGGCAAGATGGTCTTCAGCTCCCGGAGACTGATGCTGCAAAAGAGGGAATTCCCAGCTCCATCAACCCCCAGAGTTTCAACAGTGGAGGCCTCAGCTACTCCCATCATCTCCCACCTTGGTCTCCCCACCCCCCACCCCAAGAAACTCCGGTCAACAGTTGTTTACTGAGCACCAACTACAACAGGAGATTCTGCCTCCAAGGTAGGTGTGTTGCGCAATGGCAGAGGGCTGGTCTCCCCACTTTGGGGATAACCATGGAGACGGGTCACGCAGAAGACTCAGAATGTGAGCAGAACATGGTGGCAGGTGACCAAGTGATCCCACCCATATGAAATACCACAGGGGTTCAGAGAAGGGCAAGGCAGCCGGAGGCCAGCGAGGGAGAAGGCAAGGGAAGCCAACCTTACCTGGCACCCACCATATGCCAGACTGCCCAGGTACCATCCAGGCAATATCATCACCTCACCCCATACCACATTCTACCCCCTACAAAGTATGCACACTGACTCCCAGACTGCAGAACAGGCTATGGGGGTGCTGTTGGGGATGTGAACCAAATTCATACAGTCCACTGACCACATCACAGTCATGTCAAGTGCGCATGTCCCAAGGCAAACACTGAATGATGGCAAGAATCCATTCCAGTGGAAAGAAAATGACAGTCCACCCTAGGCCAGAAGGATAAAAGTAACAGGAACAAGTGTAACAGCGGAAACCCGAACAGTGCTGCTCCGAAGCCAGGCGGTGCTCCCGACGCCCTATATAAAGTATAGAGCCTTTAATCCTTTAATTCCCAGAAACCACGAGCTGGGCACCCCTAAAATCTCCACGTCACAGCGAAGAAAAGTGAGGTTCAGCAAGGCTCGGCGCCTTGTCTGGGTGAGTGAGGGGAGGAGGTGGCACCAACCGTCTGTCTCAAGAGCCCGGGAGGCTCGTCCTGGGAACAAAGCGAGAGGAGCAATGGACAGCCAGGCTGCAAAGAAGCCCTCCAGCTTCCAGAAACACACAGGATGAGCGGTGCAGAGCCATGCGGCTGGTCACGGCCAAGCGAGGCCCAGGGATGAGAACCTGAGCACTCGGAATGTCTGAGCCCACCTGGCCCAGAGGCCTCACCTTCCAGTGGACCTGTCATCGGATAAGGAAAGCCCCTCCCTCAAGGTCATATCCCCTTCCAAGGACCTCCTGTATTCAGTGACTGTCCCAGCAGAGACACAGAGGCTCAGTCACCTGGCCTCAACTCAGGACAGCCCTGCAGGGTCGCCCCGGCTCCAAAGCTCCCGTGGGATCGGCTGAGGCCTTGAGTGTGACTGTATCACAGCCCACCTCTTCCCTCTGCCCTGCCCTGCTCCCCTCACTCCCCTACAACGTCAATCCCTTCACACTCCCCAGCAAGCCTCGTACACACGTCTACATTTCAGACTCTGTCTCTTGGGGGCTGGACCTGGGAGTCCGGAAGCAGGGCAAGCCTGCAGGGAAGGGTGGCAAAAACTGGTTCTCTCATGTGCCACCAGTGGCCCTTCCCTCTTCTACAGCAGACGTTACTAAAGGATCCTGGTGCTGTTTCCATCTCAGCCCAGCCAGGATCCTGGAATCTTTCAACACTGAAATTTAACCTGTCACCCAATGCTAGAATACTACCTCCACCCTTCTTGGCTTTTCATAATAATGGTAACAGTAACAGCTACCTGCTCAGTGTTTACTCTACACTCCTGCACTCATCTTGTAACTCACTGACTCCTCATACCAAGCCTAGGAGTCAGAGACTATTATTATTTCTTTTGTATAGATGAGGGAACAGAGACACAGAGAGGTTAAGTAACTGACCCAAAGTCAACCAGTAGCTGAGTGCTGGCATGGAGATCCCAACCTTAGTGCTGCCCAACACATCTTCCTATGAGGATAGTAATGCTTTCCATCTGCACTATCCAATGGGATCTCTGGGAGCCTAGTGCCTAAGGCATTTGACTGCTAACCAGAAGGCTGGCAGTTCAAATCCACCAGCCACTCCTGGGAAGGAAGACTGGGCAATCTACTTCCGTAGAGATAGCGCCTCGGAAACCCAAGGAGAGGTTGCTATGAGTCAGGTCTGACTCAATATCAGTGAGTTTGGTTTGGCTTTTTTCCACGCTGTCCAATAAGGCAACCACTAGCCACTTTACAAGTGGCTGGTGTGGTTGAGAAAGCGAACTCTTCAATGGCTTTAGTTAATTTAGATTCAAACAGCTCCCTGTGACTGGTGCCTGCCATATTGGACACTGCAACTTTGTTTCTCAAGTGACTGGTCCCTGGAGCAGCATCACTTGGGAATTTGCTAGAAAGGCCATTCTTAAGTCCCACCCCAGACCTCCTCCTGGATCTGAGGCTTGGCGGTGAGGTCCTGCAGCCGTGTTTTAACAAGCCCTCCAGGGCACTGTGACAGCTGCTCAGACGTGAAAACTGCTCTCTGGGAAGCACTGGTCCCAGGCCTGGCTTCATGGTACAACTGCCTGGAGCACTTTAAAAAAAAAAAAAAAAAAAAAAGCCAACCCCCAGGTCGCTGCCCAGGCCTAGGAATGAGCACCCCAGGAGGTGGGGCTCCAGGGGCTGTGCGGGGACGCTCCCAGGGGATGCGCCTGTGCTGTGGAACGCTGCCCGGGGCCCAGATGGGAGAGCTGTTCTCGCTGAGGCAGCGAATCGGGCCTCCCTCCTGCACCCCCGGCCACCCTCGGCCACGGTTCCTGCCTTCCTTCTCCACCAAGGCTTAAGGGGCGAGGGCACCACACATCTGGCTTATGCAAATTCAGTTTCATCGGCTGAGGGGGCAAGACCAAAAAGGCGACTGAGACTTCCACTAGAGACACGATTTGCCACCAGCCACGAGGCCCACTGTCCCCTCTGCGGGACTTGGTCCCTGGAGCCTCACAAGGCGGGGTACCACCTCCAGTGACCCCAGGGGTTAGCTGACCACAGGAGGTGTTCACCAAATGCACGGGGCTTAGAATTTCATCCTCAGGTTGAGAGAATCTAAACTCTCAAAGGCCCAAAAGGCGAGCTCTGGCAATCTGGCCAGGAAGTCCATTAAAATACTTGCCCTTTGACCCAGGCCCCTCAGTGCTGGGACTCCATCACAAGGAAAGTGTCCAAAGCCAGAAAATACCACCTGTCCAATGTTACACCTAAGGGTGGAAAGGGAAGGTTTTATTCATTCAATCAACATGAGCAAGCACAGTAAGGTCGGAGAAAGTGGCTTCCTGCCCTCAGCCAGGCACCAGCACACCACGGTTCCACAGTCACCGGCACAAGGGCCACAGACGCAGGAAGTGACGCTCAAAGGCTTCTTAGTAGGGCATACGCCGTGTGGGCCCACGTGGGATGCAATTCAGCAAAAGCAAGAACAGGAGGAAAAACTGGAAACAAGCTAAATGGTACGAAAGGGCAGCTTCTGGAGCCAGTTATCAAATCCCATCGACTGAACTCAGACAGAGGCGTCAACCGAACTGTCAAGCAGCACAATGAAACGTAAATAGTCTTAAGTGCACGGGGCCTGGAGACTGTAAGTAAAGGCTTTGATCGAGGACACGAGGGTGGCTCAGAGTTCCAAGTTCTTAGAGATTCAGATTCACTGGACCCACTGAGACCGGAGAAGCCCCCGAATCCACTGCCCTGAGATCATCGCTAAGTCTTGAGCCTCAACGACCCTCTGACGTCCTCCTTAGACTAAGCCATCTTTTAGCTCAATTAGCAGAGAGTATGCGCCTTAGGCACCATGTTCTTTTGAAGAGTTCTCTCTATGGGGCACACTGACAATGGGGGCAGCGAGTCTGCTAATGGTGGTGAAGCAGTCGGCAGAGGTGGTGAGAAAGGAGACACGTGAAGGACGTGAACGAGTCACCAGATTGTGCACAGACAAACGGCTGCGTGGGTGTGCAATGTGCTGTGTCGATCTTCACCAAAAACAACACTTGAAATTCTGAAACAGCTCTTACGTTTAACATTCAATGAAAAGAACCTAACCTTCCTGTCCCTTTGGTGTGGGCTGGACTTGTGGACTTGCTGCCAGAGAACAGAGTATGGAAAGTGGGCATAACCTTACGGTGTGGAAACCTGGCAGACATCACTTTGGCTCAGTGGTCAAGGTCAACATCGCCACTAAGTCACGTTGGAGCACATACCTACCGCTTGGCATGATGGAACGAAAGGGTCGGTCCATCTCTGTGTTGTTCTAGCCAAACACCTACCCAGCCAACCCATCTTCCAGGTGCTGCCGTGTTTACTCCAACTCATGGTGACCCTGACCCCATGTGCATCAGAGCAGAACCATGCTCCACAGAGTTTTAAGGACTGACTCTTTGGGTTTGATCAGTAGACCTTTCTCCCGACATACCGTGGGTGGACTCGAACCTCCCACCTTCCAGTCAACAGCTGAGCACGCTGCTTGCACTGCCTGGGACTTGACTCTACACACAAGCCCAGTGTAATCCTGAAGAAAACATCAAACACAAATGCAAAACACTCTACAAAATGCCTGAAAAGTACTCCTCACAACTCACAACCAGGGGAACAATACAAGACTGAGACACTGCCCCAGTCCAAAGGGGACCAGGAGGACGTGACAGCTAGACACAATGTGGTCTCCTACATGGGATCCTAGACCAGTAAAAGGCCAGGAATCCAAGGAAAAGCACCCGTCTGCTTGGAAAGGTCTGGCATGGGGCTCCATGTGCCAAAAGGGAGATTCCCGAACATGGTGTCACCAGTGGGAACCTGTGCCACCAACCCTGTACCACCGCAGAGTCGAAAGTGGTGCCCAGGAAGTCTGGCATCTGGTTAATAGTAATGTACCTGCGTTGGCGTCTAAGTTTTGATAAAGGTACTCCAGTAACTTAAGATCTTAACATTCAGGGAAACCGGGTCAGAGGGTATGTGGACTCTGTACTGCCTTCCCAACTTCCTTGTGAAGCTGAAATTATTATCAAATAAAACACTAAAAGGAGACTAGGACACAAGATCACAGATAGAATTCTATCTTGATAAAGTAAATAAACACAATCTGAGGCTGAGAAGCCACCTAGAAACCAGTGCTGGCCACTTCCATGTGGACAGAGTCCTTCTCTTCCTTCCAGTTTCCAGGATTCCCAAAATTTTCCACAGGCAACACGAGCTACTTTCATGATTAAAAATAAAGCCTGTGTGTATTTCTTCTTTAAAAGGTAACAATAAATGGAGATGTGAAAATGTAAACTAAGAAGTTGTCTAGTGCTGAACACAGAGGCAGGGCTTAGCAGGTTGCTGAGAAAGAATTAAAATTTTAAGGTGACTGGTCAAGGTGGGAAGGGCCGATTTCTGTGTCTTTCTACCTTTCCATAACCTGAGACTGCCGTCAAGTCAGATCTGACTCACAGCGACCCGTCCTCGGGTTTCCCAGGCGGTATCACTACAGAAGTAGATTGCCCAACCCTCCTTCTGAGGAGTGGCTGGTGGGTTTGAACTGCCACCCTTCTGGTTAGCAGTCAAACGCCTTAGGCACTGCGCCACCAGAGCTCCCCACCTTTCTACAGCATGATTTAAAAACAAAGCAAATAAATAAATAAATAGATTTTAAAAAAGGGAAAGCAACATAAGGAGCAACTGGTGCGTGCAGCAGCCCTGCAGCCGTCCCTGGCCAGGTGGGCTGCTGTGGGCCCGTCACGTAACTCCTCTGGGGCTCAGTACCCTCACATGTGAGTCGGTCAGTTTCAACCGCTGAGAGGACAAGTTAAAACTACAAGAGAGCGCAGTGCCCGCTGTAAAATGGGTCTCCACAAGCCTCAGCTGCCACCGTGTTTGCCCCTGGAGACTCTGAAAGGTGAGAGACGGTGCAAGGCCAAGGAAACACCTGGGAGCCGAGCCTCCCTGAGCGCCCCCTGAGGGCCTGCCTCCTGGCCCCTCAAGTCTTTCCTTTGCTTTAGCTGTTCCTTTGTTTTCCTTCAGGAAAGGCCATTAGTCGTGGGCGACAGGAAAGGGAGGGAAAGTTGGCAGAACAGAAGTCGGATGCCCTTTCGGTGGCACCTTGGTCCAAGTTCCTTTCAGTAACTCCCTCCGGGCCTCACAGAACCACGGGAAAGGTGGAATTTTCTAGGTGTTGACAGAGCAGCAGGGCTCTGCCCACAGGAAGGGTGGTAGGAGACAGGGTGTGGTGACAACTGGCAAGGAATTCAGTCCAGAAGCAGGGCTTACTCTCTCCTCCAGGCTCTAGGCAGCCACCGCAAAGATGCAAGAATTTGTCCTGAGCATAAGGGAGCTCCCGTTGCTGGAAAACAGAGGAGGGCAAAGCTGACTGCGGATCCCACTCGCCAACCCTGTACCACCGCTGAGTGGAAAGTGGTGCCCAGGATGGCTCCCTCAGCCATCACCATGCCAATTTCCACCAGGAGTCACCCATAAGCCACAGGGACAACACCACAACAGGAGATGCCACCACCAGGCTGAAAGGAATGAGTGTGTACCAACCCTCCAGCCAGGGATTTCATCTCATCCATCCGGGCAGCACTGGCGTCGAGTCCAGGGTGTGGTGCTGGGAAGTGAATGTGTGATGGAAAGAGGAGGGAGGTAGAGGCAGACAGACAGCAAGACACAGAATGGGCCACCGGCCGACAGAACCACATGACCAAACTTGTAACCATTTCATGGTTAACATTTCCAAGTCATCCTATTGGGTGGATGTAGAAGACACCATTAAGGCATGCCCCAAACTCTGCCAACAACAAGCCATGGAGGATGTTGGCCAGACACAGTCACCTTTAACATGGACAGACTTCCAAGGAAACAAGGGGAGAGCTGGTCGAATTTGGCTGTTGCCCCACATACAATTAGACATATCGTAAGCCCGAGTGGATGAAAGCATGTTCAACGTTACTCAGAAAGAAAGAAGTGCAACTTCAAACAAAAACGTGCTGTGACTTTTCACCCATCAGATTAACAAAGGTCAAACTCTGGCAACAGTGTTCTCAACAAGCAGTAGCTGCTACCGTGTTTGTCTCCAGAGACTACGAGAGATGAAGCAACGTGCTGGGGCCACGAACGCCGGGGAGCTGGGCTCCCCCCACCCGAGCCACGCCCACTCAGAGCCTGCCGCCCGTGGACTTGCATCTTTCCTTTGCCTCTGTTTTCCTTCCGGAAACACCATGAGGGTTAGGGAGGCAATGCTCTCTTGCAGCAGTGGTGCAAAGAAACTGCTACCACCTCCATCTATCAAAACACTACCCACAGCACTGTGCTGCCAGTTCTCCGCTTCTAAGAATGTCCACTACTCCTGTCTCCACCCCACTTTATGAAAAGGCAGACCCAGGATGGTTCATGGCAGTGCTACTCCCCACAATCCTGAAGGACTGGGGCGAAGATAGCTATCAACAAGGGAACGATTCAGAGCACACTGCCCTCATCAAAGGGAAATCACCCGTCTGGTTAGAACGGTATCACATGGGGCTCCATGTGCCGAAAGGGAGCCTCCCAAACACGACGTCAGCAAACAAGGCCAGTAAATGGGACTCTGTACCACAGTCCCTCTGCTATTCCTGCCCGTTCTCACAACCACCTCTACGTCACGAGATCTGCCTTAGGGTCAACCTTGCTCCCACGATACAGTAAGCCGCAGGAGGAAGGCACGACAGCAAACGCAGGACACGGCAGGTACTGAAGCACGACAAGTCCCAGAGCCTGAGGCAGAGGCCACCACAGTCACCGGACCGAGTGCCCATCAAACAGAGGCTCCCCAAGAGTGAAGAGTCTGTCTCCCGAGTCTGTCCCACCTCGCACAGCGTCTGCATTTGGTTGGTCAAATCTGTGCTCCCGAGGGCCCCGCCCAGCCCCACCACAGAACACGCTCCAAGCCCACGGAACCTTTGAACATGGACAGAGAGACCCGTGAGAGCCGAGACTCGATGGAACTTCCGTTTCTCCAGGTCTGGTACGGTTTCCGTCTGTGACGGGGCACCTACCACCTTACCGCTTTCCTGCCACTCGTTTCAGTGAAGACTACTCGTGTTATCCTTCCGGCCGGTTTCTGTCTTCTACACGTTCCGACTTTTGCAGGTTTTACCGTAAATAAAAATCTGATTCCAAAACCACCACAAGACAACGGCAAGAAATGTCACCTCATCTTACCTGTTTCTTCTGGTTTGATCCACAGAATAAATCTGCTTTCTCAGCCAACTGCAAGGAGAGTTGAGAACAAAAATAAATAAATATGGGGGACCACAGGAGTACGGGAAGGAGCATGGGAGGAACGAAAGTTAGCAAATAGCCAAGCCTAAATACGTTCTACGGGACAGAGACAAGGACACTGGACAAGAAGAGGAATTTCCCGGCTTTCTACCAAGGGCAGCATGGGAAGCCAGGAGTCCCCTCACTGATGATATTCATTCATTCCCCCCAAAAAGAAAGTGGTGGTAAATGGAGGGATGTGGTTTACTGGGGAAAAGAAACCGCCCACTCCTGCCACCATGACACTGAAGAGACAGCTCTTCAAGAAGACCCTGTCAGCCTGCGATGGGTGACAAGGACAAAACTCCGCACCTCCACGCCTCGCTGACCCTGGGTGCGTCTGCTAATCCCTCGGCAAGTCTTGGAAAAGGAAGCACCCCCATCTGCCACTCAAATGCCAGCCAAGGGTCTCTTCTGTCTCTGCCTCAGTGTACTGCTCACCCCAAAAGGCAAGGCTAAGCACAGAAGGTCTTCACTGAGAAAGGAGAGGCCCCAGCCATGAATGAGCACCAACTGTATACAGAAGGCTCCAGGAGGCTGCAGGGTAAAAGGCCCCATTTTTCTCTCCTTGGCTCTCACTGGCTAACGGGAGCAGGATGAATACGTGGATGAGCGGATACATCGATCAACAGCCCAAAGCCTAGTACCTCTCGATAATTGTGGGCGTGGAGGCGTTCCTCGCTTCTTGGTGTAAGATCTTCAAGCCGGAAAGCCACATGACTGCATCCTCCTTGGAGTCAGCTGGAGAAGCCAGAGAACAGAGACGCTGGGTTAACCGCGGGCAAAGCATGGTCCGAGACCCCGTCCTGGCCGTCCCCAGCCCCATGCAGCCCAGCGGCTAGGAGAAGCCTGCGCTGGTTGCCCACTTTCAAGACAGCACCAGGGAGGCACCGCCCTCACGCCTGTGTGGCTCTTAACCAGTAACCAGGTGCCTTTGACTCCGACCCATGGGGCCCCGTGGCCTCAGAGCTGGACTCTGCTTCACAGGGTCGCCGATGGCTGGATTTTCAGGAGCAGATTGCCAGGCTTTTCCTCTGAGGTGTCTCTTGGTACACTCCAACCGCCAACCTTTCAGGTTAATTGTTCGCCATACCCAGGGATTCAACACGGCTCTTAAGAACCTGCCTTTTGGTCTGAGACGAGACCACACAATCCTGAGAGGTTTCTATGGCAGGGTGTTTACTTCCTGGTGACATAACATGTTTACTTCCTGTGCCAGCGTGAATCAACTAGGCGTTAGTGGCAATGATGATTATCACCATCACGGTTGTTGGGTGTTAGTACAGAAAACCAGCTGCCGTCACTCACTGGGAGCTCCACGTGGTTCTTTTTCTCTATCAATTGATGTAACCCTGCCAGCAAGACCATGACAGGTGCCAGCATTCCCTGCACTGAACGTGGGGGAAACCGAGCCTCCGAGAGTTAAGGGATGTGTCTGAGTGCACACGGCCCCTAAGTGGCAGACACAGGATCTCACATCAGGACCCATTCCCTTAACCACTGGGCACAATGACTCCATGAACGAAAAACTGAGGAGCTGGCATGTAAGCGTCTCACATGGACGTTTGCAAGTCCCCCTGGCCCTGCTCAGGAGAAGGGCCTGGGGGGCTCTGAAACCCCCACATCTACATCCCACTCAGAGTAATTAAATCCGAATCCATGGAGAGGGGTGAAACAGCAATACATCTAAACGCTCCCAGGTGCTGCCAAGGGGCAGCCAAGGTGGATGTGAGTTTCCTCTTGCTGCTGTAACAAATGACCACAAACTCACTGGATTAACCTTTTCGTGACCTGTGGGACATTTACCACCCACCTTCATTTTATTACACACCTTCACTTTCTGCCTCTGGAGCTTGGTGGGAAGGTGCTATCCCACTTTTAGTATATGCTGCCATCTTGTGGGAGGCCTGTATAACTGCATGAATCTAAAGAAACAGGCCTCATCCCACCAACCCCAGCACCAGAGACCCCCCCTGGGGACATACATGTCCGGCTAATTGTACCAAGATCCATTATTACCTTAAAAAAATTTTTCATCTCATTCAAAATACCTTCCATTGCTGAAAATACATGGTTTCAACAAAAAATTCAAAGTAGAAAATAATTCAGTCTTGAAAGGGTCAAAGTAGCACAAATTTATTCTCTTACAGCTCTAAGCCAGGTGCCTAAAATGGGTCTGAAAAATAGCTTGGAAGGGCTGAACTGCTTCTAAGGTTCTAGGGAAGAATCTGTTTCTTTACCTTTTCCGGCTTCTAGAAGCTGCCCTCATGCTAAGGCTCATGGCCTCACAAATGGTCACAGCTCCTTCTCCGAGCCTGACCCACCTGCCTCCCTCTCCTAAGGACCCTGGTGGTGACACGGGCCCACCTGGATAACCTGGGATCTAATGCCATGTCAGGTACATAGTCACAGGTTCCAGGGATTAGAACGTGGACGTCCTGTGGGGAGGACATGGGATTTTTCTGCCTACCAGAGAGAGGGGCAGCCATGACTCAGGACTTCAGCTCGCTTTCTTCTTCATCTTCTTTTCCTCTTTAAGAGTTGTAGCTTTTAGCCCTATGCTAGGTAGACAGGAACGACCTGAGATCATCTGCATCGAATCCAGAGCAGCCCTCAATATCTCTCCTGCTTCCAACCACGGCAGGAAGGCCTGCCCTGCTGGTCAGAGGGGCGTGGCAACAAACTGAGTAAGAGCCTGGCACATGGCAAGAGGAGGATCATCACTCCAATCCGACTGCACCACCTCCTGCTGTGTGACTTTCAGCAACCTACTTAACCCCTCTGTGCCTCCATTTCCTTATCAGTGTAATGGCATCAGCAACACACACATCTTGTCAAGCTGTCACACATCTGAACACCAGGTACCAACGCTGGTCTTCACAACACTCAGGTGGGTGCTCTTGTTTTCCCCAAGCGGACAAGGGGAAAACAGAGACTCAGAAGGATTCAGAGATTTGTCCCAGAGCCACCAATGGGTGGGGCTGGGATCTGAATCCAGGTCTTGCCCATCTCCAGGGCTCCAGTTCCTCAAAGAGGGATCGTGGAGTAGAACAGATCCCACAGCTGGCATCTGAGGCTCCAAGCCCTGGGCTCTGCTGAATCTGGAATCAAAACTAAATGCCCCCCCCACAGAAAAACCATCAGTGTTTTTGTCCCCTTTGGTCTCCTGTTAACAGTATCTCTTCTCCCTCTCATCCCTCAGGGATGGCTGGAACTTTCACTTCCAGATGCATGTGTGTACGTGTGCATTTGTGCGTGTACACGTGTGTGTGTGTGCATTATGTCCATATTTGTGCATGTATGTGTGTTCACATGTCTGTGCGTGCATGCACGTGTGTGTACATGCAATCACATGTGTTATGTGTGTGATACGAGGTCTCAGGAAGGTTCCTTTGGACCGACGTCAAGACTGCTGTGTGACATCAGGTCTGCAGGAGGCGGGCAGGCGACACAGCTCCTCCAACAGGGCCTGGCCTGCAGTAATAGCCGTAGTCACACTAAGCAGCATTAAACAGGCACTCAATGTCTGCTTCCCAGCATCCCGATGAGGCAGATATTGTTCTCCACCCCATTTTACAGCTGAGGAAAGTACAGTTCAGAAAGGTTAAGGACCTCACCCAAAGGCACACAGCTACAAAGTGGCAGGGCTGGGGTTCCAAACTGTGATGCCCCAAATGCAAGTCAGTGGAGAGGCAAGTGGGATGGGATGACTCAAGAAGAAGTCCGAGGAAGGAAACTGAGACAGGGCAGGAAAGAGCACAAGGCACGTGCACGCACCTGCTAAGCTTAGCGTGCTGAGGACGAACTGCGTGCCGTAGAAGATGGTAAAGCAGCAGTCTTCCTTCTGGCGGACCGTTTTCGCACGCTCAAAGTCCTTGGAGCTTCTCCCTGGACGGATCTCCTTTATTTCCATGATATCCACTGAAAGGAAAACGTATCAACCAATTAGAAGCCAGCCTTCACACCCTCTGAACCGCGGCCACTCATCTGTGCCTCAGACACAGCCCAGCTCTTCCATGTCCCAGAAGGGACCCATGAGGCCACCACCACATGTAGATCCCATGCAAGCCCAGGGTCCACTCCTAATGAAGTGGACAGAAGGCCACAGAGCCTACCAGGTGTCTGCCACCACCTCACAAGCCACTGAGGTGTGAACAGTCTGGACTTTCGCACACCCCCTTCCTGAGACTGATGCAGTCTAAACTAGGACAACTGGCCTCTGTAACACAACTCAAGGTTAAGGAAAGTCAGAGGCTATTCCACCAGGTCGGGAGACAGACAGTGATCGCCAGCCCTGGGTGGTGTGAAAGCGCCAACTGCTCCCTGAAGGCCTGACTGTGATGACCTCTGCCCTCGAGCCCCAAAAGGTACGAATGCCACTGGCTCAGTCCAAGGGGGGCGAGGGGAAAGGCAAGGAATGACCACTAAAAAGACAAAGCTGCAAGACCCAGGGGAGGACTGGTCACTAGGATTTGGGGACCACACCATGTACTGTGCGAGATGTTACACTGGGGGCCCGAGCTGACACACTTGTCAGCGTTCATGCCTGAAGGAGCCACCTACTACTGAATACGAATTCTGCAACCTGCTTTAACTAACAGCACGTTCTAGTCTGGGCCCACGAAGGCCTGGCGCAGGGGAAAGTGCAAAGAGGAGGTGGACCGATGTGACAGCTCTCTGCTTTGTTATCCCATGACAAAAAGGGGGATGAGAATCACAAAGCAACGTGGAAGACTTTAAATAGCTTGTGACGGTGGTTACGGAAGTCTACACGTGTGATCAAACTTCACGGAACGAAACAATGAGCATGTGTTAAATTCTACAGTTCAATGAAAAGTAGTGCAGCACTGTTAACATCCCGCTTCTGATAACTGTACCATGTGATGTAAGGTGGTCCTTCTGGTGGCGGCTGGAAGAACGGCACCCAGAAACTGTGCTACCAAAGGCTGGTAGTTCAAACCTACCCAGTGGCAGCAGAGATGAAAGAATGGGTGATCTGCTCCCAGCAAACTTACAGCCAAGAATACCCTATGGGGTAGCTCTGTAAAACACAGAGTCACCATGAATGGGAATCACAACTCAACAGCAAAGGCTTGGGGGGTTCTGGTTTTATATAAATCTAAGTTTATTTCAAAATAAAATACTTAAAAATCACTGACCCTCTTGGTAGTGGGAGGGGAAGGGGGTGTGTCTCTACCCTGGGGGCCTGCACATTTCCCTGTTCCCGATTTCCCTGTGAGCCTTCCTTCCCTCCTCTCTTAATCTTCACTCGGAAGAACAGAGAAGGGAAAGGCATCATGGGCACAGTCATTTCTGTGGGAGGAAATCAGCGTTGCTGATGTAACAGCTTAAGTAATTACACACAAAAGCTTTCATGGTACTAAGGTTTGTTCCCAAAAATTAGCTGCTGGTCCACCCAGATGACTGTCAGACAAGAGTCTAGTGGCTAAACAATGTCTTCCTTTTCTATCCAGTCTAGCAGTGAGTAGCTAACCACTCTTTTTTCCCGTAAGATATCCTTAAAAGTGAATCTTTCAATTGCCCTCCCGTGGGGTTTTTTGTTTTTGTTTTCTTGCAGCAAAGTTCTAGTAAGAACTTGACACGTGTCCATAACTAAAGAAATAAAATAAAATAAAATAAATCTTCTAGAACGTAACATCACCTTCAAGCCACCAAGCTGCATCGAGTCTTTCTAAACTGCTCCTGAACCTGCCAAGTTTACCTCCATGACGAACACTGTAAGCCAAGCCACCATCATCTCCTGCCTGGCCTACGGCAACAGCCTCCCCGGCAGCACTTGTCCCCACAGCCATCCTCATGAAAAGCAAATGTCCTTCAAGCCTCCCAGGGGCATCTCAGTGCCACCAGAACTAAGCACCGAGACCTGGGGGTGCTGACCCACCGATCTACCAGACTCAACCATGAACCCTCATCTCCAGGCTCCAGCCCATGAGATACACTGGCACCTTTGCTAGGAGTCGCTCAGCCTGGTCAACGCCAAGTTCTCCCTTCCAGGGTCAGCTCAGTCACCACCTTTAGGACACCTTCCAATTCCTGCCATCACACACACCAAGCACTTCCCCACAGCCCTCAAAGACGCAAACGTCTGAGTC